TGAATTTTGAGATATTGGATTTCAAAGTGGCAGATTCATTTTTAGAATTTCTGGTAATATATTGTAGGGGTGTGTATATTAAGGATGCTTGTCAAAATTATTTTGGAAACTATCAAAATATCAAATTCAGAAGTTATATCAAGTTATATATTGATAATTAATTTGTCTTATTGCCAAAATTCAAAAAGATCTGTAGTAATAAAGATATATTAAATACTAATAATTAATTAGTATTCAGCTTTAACATTATGTTATCTGTCAAAATTTATAAATTTTGACAAGCACCCTTAATATATATAGTAAAATATATATAAATGTTAAAAATATTATTCAATAAAATTTTGAAATTATTTGAGATACCAAAGCTTAGAAATTATATACTAATAGTTAATTAATTAGTATTTAATTTTAACAAATCTGTTATATTACTAAAGCAGTTTATTAAAATTTTGACAATCATTATAAAAAAATGAATTAAACGTTTAACTTTACACATATATAGAAAAATCAATAAGGATAAAACTATCCTATCTGTTATACAGTTTATATTAACTGTAAGTTTCAAAGATTCTAAAATAATTTTAGCGTTAATGTTAAATAGTTAAGTTTTTTCTTGGTTAAAAGTGAGAGTTTGGGTGATATTTTTAAATATACTTGTATAATTTTCAAAAAATGTGCATGAGAGATAAATTTAAGCGATGCACTGTTTACATCTATTTATTCATGAAAATCAAAGACAACGACAGTTTGGAAAAATACAGATAGTAAAAATATTCGAGTGGTATTTGAAGTGAAGATAACAAATGTAAGTGTAATCTCGGTTTCTATTATCAAAACTGTGTTGTAATTCAAAAATATACATTTTGGCCGGTATTTGAAATCAAGAGGATGAGTCGTTAGAGGACTATAATCTTGGTTCATATTATCGAAATATCGAAGGTAGTGAAAAACACATTTGAGCGAAACCAACAGAGTGGAAATGAAAATAAACTTGGTCTGTTTTATCAAAATGTTATAGGAACTCAAAAGACGTTTGATTTGTATTTGAGAGCGTTAGGACAATTAGTTCTATTAAATAAGAAAAAAGCATTTATGTGTCATCAAAAATCTGCTGAATGTGGAAATGCGAATGGACAGAATGAACTAGTTTGACATGTAAACAAAGCATTTACAGTCCGCACGGAAAACAATGGCGGAAAAATTTTTTCCATATAATTGAACTCATTATAAAGGACGGGTGTGAAAAAATATAAGATATTTTTATGACCAGCCACAATACATCAAAAATATTCAACTTAAGAATTGTAATAATTCTGAAATAACTTCACTAGTTATGATTTTTAACATGTCAAATTGCATTCAAACCTGCGTTGACAGGAAAGGAAATGTATAATGTGTTGATTCTTTAGAGTATGTCCTACTTAGAAGCGTTTTAGAGATAAATTTTTTTGAAGTTGGCTTTAAAAATAGCAGTTTAAAAACTTTCTATATTCATTAAGTCATATTTTTTCTATTTCTTATAATTATTATTTATCGTTTACCAGAAACATTTAACATCAATCAAAGTTCGCATGTTCAATATAAAGATCCATATATCATTTCATGTTTATACTTTTAAATGTTTTATTTTATCGTGTGAGATTTTTTAAATTTTGCTTACATTCATTAAGCCTTTTTTGATGGTTTAAATCAAAAATATCAAATTACATTTAATTAAATTAACGGTTTTACAGTTCATTGAATCTACAATTAATCACTCTATGATAACTAATTCAGATAACATTAGATATTCGTATTCGAATACGACATCGAAAGCCTCACAAATATCCGCCGTAAAATTTCAGAAAATAAGCTACCTCCTTCTCTTTGACCCCAAAAATCGTGCAAAAAATAGTTGCTTATTTTCGGGGAATTTACAGTAATCGACAAATATGATCTTATGCGAAAAAAGTTAAATATCAATTCTCTTATAGCATTGTTAATTCAACAAACGATTGCATTCATAACGATATTTAAAATGATAATATTTACAAATACATGATAATTTCAATGTTTCTAATTGTGATAATTATTTTTATTCTTTTGCATTAGAAACTTTATTTATTAGTGCATGTATTTTTCAAATATTTGACGCAAAGAGGCAAATTAAAAAAAATGTGGAACCAACAAAATTGTGAAAATGTAAAACTGCGAAGTTAATATCGATATTACAATTTACAAAGCTTACACTAATAGTCAAGATACATATATAGGATTCTTTGAGACAATTGCTTAATCCACAAAATGATATATATTGTACTTTTATTTGCAGGTTTTTTGAAATAGCAAATTGTTTACGTGTTCATTTTGTTTTTCCATACAAGCAGCAGCAAGTAAAAAAAAATGCATGTACAAGTACATGTACATGTAACTTTGTGCGCCGAATTTGTATGAGCATGTATTTAACGTTAAGTAATCAACAGAGATTGTCTTTTTTGAGTTGGCTTCATTCTGACATATGCCACCATCTTTTAAAACTGATTATGATGATCTAGAAAGGCCTATCGTAATGTCACTGCCTCGTACCCGGGTACTTTACAAGAACAAGAACACCCCTTACTTTGATTACTTTGATTTGAACACTACAGTTGCAGCATGATGAAAGGGAAATATGAATTTCTTACTAATTGAACGTACACGATTTATCTGTGTTGTGAAAATTAAATGTAGTGCTGTTCTTGTAAAATACCCGGGTACTAATGGTAGTGCATTACGGTAACTTACTACGGATTAAAGTTTTCCTAATTAAGAAGCTATATAGCTTTAAAAATTTATTTGATTAGACGAGTCATGCACCGTATTATGTGCGTTCGAGTTGCACTTTAATGCTTTTACAATAATAGTATTTACATTATAACTAAAGGTTACTCAAGAGTAGAATTTGCTCGCATAGCAAATACAATAAGCGAAAGGTAAAAAAAAAAATTAAGGAAAATAACGACATAATCTTTTCGATCTAATTAAAACGCTCGCAATTTTGGAATTGCAAATATGAATGAAAAATTATTATGGATGATTGATTATCAAATTCTCTCACTCCATTCAAACAACGCCTCACAAGTATCCTCTCCAGAAACATAAACTTCCCTCAAATACTCGAATTGAGCACTAACAAATTTCTCAACTTGTTTTGAATCCAACATACTACAATCCCTGAAAGAAATCTTTACAAGTCTCGAACAATGAGCCAAAGCATCAAAGATACAACTTTTGTAAAATCTGCATCCGCGAAATCGGACATTTTTTAAGGTTTTTGCATTTTGAGAAATTATTACGTTTATTCGATCAACTCCCGAGAAATAGCCAGGACCTGTGTGCAAGCTGAACGTGGTTATATTGTTGTGGAGTTTTAAGAATTCTGTGATTTTTTTGAGATCTCGTGATTGGTTTCGTTCGGATGTGTATGCCATGTTGTCAATTCTCTCGATGCTTAAATATATCTCTTGCTAAATAAAGAATCGAGAAATCAGTATAAACACTTAAATCTTTCAAAACTATAATTTGACAACATACCAAATTTTCAAATTTACATTGTGTTAGCCAGGCAAATGTCTCAAACACCGCATAAGCAACATCAATTTTTAAAATTGTCAGTCGTGCCAACAAATCATAATTTATTCGTTTCGTCAATATTGGAAGCAACGAGAAACATACATTATCATTAATAGATAGTAAATTAAGTGATTTCGAATGTCTTTTCAGTAGTGAAAAAATCATTTCCATAATTGTGACGGAATCACGCAATTTTTGCATATCGATGTTACTCGAGAGCTCTAAAGTATCGGTGGTGGTAAGATTAGCCATTGAATCCTCTTGGCTGGTTGACATCCCCGTATCTTCCGTCTCGGATAGTGATGGTCCGGAATGAATGTGTGTATGTGCAGTAGAAGCAAGGAATTGTTGTTGAATCCATTGTTGAATACTGGTCATCATTTCTTTTAAGTATAAACTCTTAAGAAAAGAAGGATAATTAAAGGTAAAAGACCGTGACGGATAATCGGATGAAACATTATATCCCAAGGAAGAACCAAAAAATCTACTTTTCGCATTCTCATTATCATCATCATGCTCGCAGTCGTCATCGAGACACATTAACAATAACAACTCTACATATTTATGTCCATTTTTCACGCCTTTATTATTCTCCCATACACGAGAAATCGTTACTTCACACCAATTTCGGTTAACCAGCGAACAAGCATACAAGTCTCGTTTCTTTATAAGGTGAGAAAGAATTTCGTGAAGAACTTCGGATGGCAAATAACTTGCCGGTCTTTTATTATTATTATTATCGTCGTCATTATTGTAAGTAATAAAATTGTAATAGTTATTGGTAGTATTATTGTTATTGTTGATAATCATTATATACGTAATAACTTTGGTTCTATTTGAAAAATGGGTTCGTTCCAGCGTAAAAAGAGAAAGCAAAAAATTCTAACTGTTCTATATACAGCTTTAATACCAATAATATAGCAATTACACTCTCACTGTACTGAATGCTGTAATACATATAAAATATGAAATAAGATACAAAATAGGAAAAATGAAGCGGTGTAAATCTCCCTTCTGTTTTTCCATTAACAATAACGATAGAATACCGTTTAAACACAAGTTCTTGTTCATTGTTTCACGGAGTATCAAAACTTTGCGCGATTGTTTGCATCTGCATCGGTGATTATTTTCTTTGCCATTCATCATTCGATAAATGATGATATTGATGAAAGTAATTTTTTTTTCAAGATTAATTATTTATTTGTTGTCATTATGTAATACCGATACGAATGACAATGAAGTCATTATTACTTCTAGAAGAAAAAAATAGTGCTAGGATTTTTTGTCCGAGGATACATACATGTATTGAGCACAAAATTCTACATGTAGGAATTTCTTCCTCGAGTTCACTCAAATTTGAGTGATCATCCATTGTTTTTTGAGAGAACACCCATTGTGTTTTGACTCTTTGATTGCTTTATAGAGAATACGAATTGATCATAGAGAAACTTGGCACGCTGCATTCGTTACGTACTTTCGTTAGGGGTTAATCGTTATCAGAACTCACATCAGTGATTCAGCGAGAATAGTAAAATAGTAAGAGGATACTTTGTAAGTGTTAAATCTATAGGTTGTTAGAGTTACGCATGAGTGATAAGATTTTCATGCAATATTTAAATTTGGAATACTTAATCAATCGATATATTTATTCATATGCTCGGTTTTTTTATCATGTGAATGCGCTATTTTAATACTTAGTTACCTTTGTGTCATGTGTTATTGTCAGCAATATATTAACTAAATAGTAATGATTATAAAATAGAAATGGGACCGCTTGCGGTTACATGTTACTTTAGTAAATTCGTGTATCGTATCAAGTTTGCTTACCAAATGCACTTAAATTATATCATACATGTATATAAAAACCATATCGAGGCAACTATCAAAATCCATTAGTATAATAAAAAATTTGATATAAGCCTTTATGTTAATAGAATTTCCACAAAGTAATTTTCCAATTATTTTATCGAGACAAAGTGCGCATAAAATTTGTTGAGCATTTCAAACAGTATTTAAATGAGTTCGATTGGAAAGAATAGTGTGAAAAGATTTAAATTTTGCACCGGTTGAACGACATTCTTACAAAAAGTTACGCGAATTTTGTGTATTGTGCTGCAATCCTTTACCAATCATTGCATGAAGCCTTTGTAATTTTTTAGACTAACGCCGCCATCATCGAACTGAACTGTACATAAATCGACCCGGCCCAACTGTTCGTTCGGTTAACCAGACCAACCGGTCTTATTCATATAGCTCTCCGTAAAACAGAACCGCGTGTCCTTCACAAACATAAATTGTGAATATTTAGTGCATATTTTGATATCATGTGTATAATGTACAGTATTACAAACCAGGCAGGTTAACGTTAATTGGTAAACTAGCAACCGGTTACATTTGGCGGAACAAAGTCACCGGTCTTGAAGCTTGAACATGTATATAATATTTCATATTATTAGCGTGCCTAAGTAAAAAAAAATTAAATTTCATTAAAAATAAAAATTAAAGAAAAATCTTTTGGCTAGGTAAAATGGCCATTGAAAAGTGTCCGTTGTCTTCGATTCAGTTGCACACTCGGTTTGAATCACATCACTACTAAACAAAACACACAATATGCAGAATCGGAGTTGGCTGGCTATGAATTTCCAAAAACACCATAGGCTGAAACATAGACCCTCACCGCGCACGATCACTCTCTATTGGAGAACTCAGGTAGAAGAAACCGCGGCGGATATTATGCCAAGCATTTGGTACCGCGATTACATAGTGTCGAAATGCAAGTGAGGTGAATAATTCTATAAAGAAATTCTACTTACCAAACATACTGCCGCTCGCGTCATCTATTGAACTATGGGACTAATAAACATTCTCTTCTTCTGGAATTTACAGCTAGTACAGCTTTTCGAGAATCCACCGCACATTTTTTGGTACCATGTGTCATGCATGAAGATGAACACTTCTTTAAAGCACTCATTACAAGGCATTTTCATTAATAATATATCTTCAGAAAGTCATTATTGCAATTTCTCAAGAATGTTTGAAGCTAGTTTACAATCTATTTTTTAAAATCTTGTTTCCTTCAATGTATGCAATCTCGAGCATAGCAAGTTTTTTTAACGTTATTATGAAATGAAAAGCTTTATGCATCTATATACTGTACATGTAAAAAACTATGTGTGGAAATGCATTGAGAATTATAAACGTTAACGAAATTATTTTTAGTTTTTAAATTATAAATTTTACTTTTAAAAATAATATAAAAAATTATATTAAGATATACTTAATTTAATATAAAAAATTGAAAATTTTATAATCTTTTAGTAAAAATAATTATTAACCTTTATTTTTTATATATTTATATTTTTCATCGCATCATATTACTATATATAATAATATTAATAAAAAAAATACTTTGATTATTGTATACAGAGTTTTTATAAAATAGTATTAAAAATTCATACAGAGAACTCTTCAAATTTCTTTGAAAACTTCGTAATGTTTTGATTCACATATCAATCACTTTTTTCACAAAAATAAATAATAACATCAAAAAGATAAAATGAAATGAAATATTATGAGTTGATAAAAATCAAGTGATAGAGTTTGAACAAGTAAAAAAATTCATCAAATTAATTAAAACATACTGTATGTGTTCTTTGATTAGAAAGCTTAAAGAATTTCAATATTAATCTATAATTTTAAAAACAAACAAGCAATATATGAATTACTTAAAAATATTGAGAATCAAAAATGCAGGTTTTTTAACAACTTTATTAGATCCAAGACTTAAAAAATGCATTTTTAATCCAGTTATATACAAGAAAAATAATAAAAAATATCATGAAAAAATTGATATTATTAGTAATATATTTTTATTATTTACTTCTTCTTCCAATATTATCTTATTAATTAATCATTATTTTATATCATTCTTTCAAGAAAATAATAATGATAATTTGATAAAAAATGAAACAAAAAAATATTTGACTAAATAAAAAGTATATATTATTTTACAAGAAATCCAGTGTTTAATAATATAAAAAGAATTTTTAAATTTGAATTAATTGATAATAATACTTATTTATATTAGTTATTTTAATATTGATAAAATATTTATTTTTAATATTAGTGATTAAAACAGATTTATTTTAATTTAAAAACTATTTATTAATTATTACTTTAAATAAAAATAGCAATTTGATTAATATTATATAATTTTTATATATTTAAATTAATAATAAATATTAGAATTATTATAATTTAATATTTATTATTATAATATAATATAATTAAAAATTCATTTAATTGATTAATTATAAAAAATTTTTTTATATTGCACAAATAAGAAAAAGTTCAACTTTACTTATATATAAGCTTATAATACTTTTATTTTTATTAAAAGATATATTAGTAATATAAGTCAATTGAAATTAAATTTTAATTTTAATTTTAATTAGTTAAAGAATAATTAGCTTTTAGTTAATCAAATAAATTTTAATTATGCTTTATAATATTATAATAATTATAATAATTATCTTTAATTTAAATATATTACAAAATATTTATTTATATATAATAATAATTTAATATTAATATTAATAATAATCAATATTATAATTTATATTAATAAAATATATAATATATATAAATTTCTATTATATATTAATATCTAAATTAATTCTATTTTATTTTTTATATTATTTTAAAATAAAATAAAAGTTTATATTTAGATATACAGTGGCAATCAAAAATAATGCAACGCTTAAATTTTTTACTAATTATAATTAGTAAAATACGTATTTTTTC